CGCCCGCCGGGTGACAGCGCCCGGGGTCCGGCCGGGCGGCCCGCCGCCGTGCCGGGACCCTCCGAGGTCGGGAGCGCCCGGGATGGAGAGGGTCGTGAGGACGAAGGCTCGGAACCGGCTCTGCGGCTCCTGCTGACGGTGTGAGCGCCGGCCCCGGCTCCCCCGTCCCCTGACGCGCCGGCTCCCGGGCGCCTCTGCCCGGCGTCGGGGGTCGCGGCGGACGCTCCAGAGCCCGACTCGGCTGGGCCGCCCTGAGTCATGGTCCTGCGGCCATTTACCGCTGCCGTGCAGCCTTCCACGCCTTGGGAGGGCTCCTGTTTTCCCGAATAGGAGGGATCGTTTAGTTTGCAGATGAGGAGGTTCAGAAGTACGAGGAATGGGGAGAGTAGATGGGAGTGAAGAATTCGGCAGCGCAGAGGAGTTGGCTCAGCCTGAATGGATTAGGGGCAGATTAGTATCTAGCGTATTACATGTTCTCTGCTGTTCTGTGCACCTGGAACAACCTTTCTCTCTGGGTTAACGAGCATCTTCAACTCTGTCTTCCAAATAGCTCCCGACTCTTCCCCTTGTTGTAGAAGGTTTCCCTCCTCAGAGGAAGAGCCGATTTCCTCTGCTTCCTTTCCTCTGCCCTTTTCATACTCAAACCCAGAACGCTCAATGCTCTGCAGCTTGTATAAAAATTCAGTCTGTAATTACAGAGGTGTGCACGGCGCATTGCTGACTCGGGCATGTCTGTTGTTTGTATCTGTAACGTGTATGTCCACTTCAGTGTTGTCTGTTTTAGTGTGCAGGTGATAGACTAGAGAACAAGACCTCTGTCTCCGTAGCGTCCTGGGTATGTGAGCATCCAATAAGTACTTTCATGATCATGAGTTTTGTTTTGAACTTAAGAACATGCTTGCTATTTTTTTTTTTTAATTCCTTAATAATCATATGTTACTTTAAAGAGCCAAGGGATGGGGGAATAGGGTCAAGGGTGATTTTGAGATAATTCCTTTGAAAATAATCTCTATTTGTCCTTGAGGTCTAACTTTTCATCTTTTTTCAACTTTTAAACAGAGCAGTCTGAATGCCAGAATGGATAACCGTTTTGCTACAGCGTTTGTAATTGCTTGTGTGCTTAGCCTCATTTCCACCATCTACATGGCAGCCTCAATCGGCACAGACTTCTGGTATGAATATCGAAGTCCAGTTCAAGAAAATTCCAGTGATTTGAACAAAAGCATCTGGAACGACTTTGCCAGTGATGAGGCAGATGAAAAGACTTATAATGATGCGCTTTTCCGATACAATGGCACAATGGGATTGTGGAGACGGTGTATCACTATTCCCCAAAACACATATTGGTACAGCCCACCAGAGAGGACAGGTATTTCTCTTGTTTTACCTTCTGTCGCCTTCACCTACTCAGTAATAGACAAAGGCATGTGATGAGGCCCAGTTACGTAGAAGCAGGTTTGTGGGTTTTTGTTCTCCCCAAAGAAATCGATGTTACGTGTCTGTTCTCGCCCTACCACGTTCTCTCCCTGACTTCCATGGATTACCATGGAGCTTATTAATATTGGTTAGATGAGGGACTGTCCTTATCTTGGGAGAGCCATTTTAAATCTTTGTATTTATTTACCCACTCATTAAAATTCTTCGTTAATCTCACACACGTCATGAGGAAATAGTTGGAAAAGTACATTGGAAGACTTTAAATACTTGGTAACTGGTAAAAGAACTAGTATGCAAAATCAAGTCAACAAATATAAATTGGTACTTCTTTTATGTATTAGCTGTGTTTTAGTAGATGTTATCATTTGCCCTCTAAATCTTAGAGGATATAATTTGACCAAATCTACATTTAAATCTGTGCATATTTGAGGCTGTTTTACGACAATCTTGATAGAATTTCTAGGTTAAAATATGCATTACAGAAGTAAAAAAGAAATCTAAAGAAATTGTCTCAGGTTTATTTTGCAAGCATTGTTAATATTTAAAAATTTTAATTTCCAGTAGTTAAAATGGATGCTTTAGAGCTCTTTGCAAAAAGGCAAAACTTTACAATTTGTTTCTGTTTATGACTACTTCTCTTGGCCTCTTAGTGGGAAGCACTGTATTCACATCATAGCAGAACAGGCTGAGTTACCATTACAGCAAAAGGATGATGGTTGTGATTATACATGGAAAAAAGAAAGTCGTTGTCAAAAGAGGGGAAAGATGGGGGGCCGGCCGGCCCGGTGGCGCAAGAGGTTAAGTGCGCGCGCTCTGCTGCAGCAGCCCGGGGTTTGCCGGTTCGGATCCCCGGCGCGCGCCGACGCACCGCTTGGCAAGCCATGCTGTGGCGGCGTCCCATATAAAGTGGAGGAAGATGGGCACGGATGTTAGCCCAGGGCCAGCCTTCCTCAGTAAAAAAGAGGAGGATTGGTGGAAGTTAGCATAGGGCTGATCTTCCTCACAAAAAAAAAAAGAAAAGGGGGAAAGTTGGTTAAAATTAATTGTAAAATGTTCAGTTCTACTTATGAGAGCATACGAGCACTTGATACTTGAATCTTAGAATCATTTATCGTTCATTCAACAAATATTTATGACATGCCTCCATGTTCCATGGCCGAGTAGCTTGGAGGACATGAGAGAAAAACAGACATCCTGGGGAGCTGATATTCTAAGAAGGAGTGACAGGCAGTAAACAGAATAAGAAAGTGTAACAGTATAAACAGAATAAATAATTATATAGATGTTAGCAGATGACATGTGCTCTGGGCAAATACAGCAAAATAAAGGGGATTTGGAAATACATAGGGAAGGGGATGTTGGTGGGCGTAAGTTATGATATTCAGTGGTATAGACAGGATAGGCTTCAACAAGAAGACACCACTTGAGTAAAGACTTGATATAGGTGAAGGAGTTGGTCATATGGGTAATTGTGGAGGCTGGGGGGATCATGTAGGTTGGAAGGAACAACCACTGCAAAGGCCTTGTGGTGGGAGCATGCCTGAAATAGTCAAGGACCAGCAAGGAAGCCACTGGGCTGGAATGGAGGTGGGGGGAGTGTTGGGTGTGCTGTCAGACGTACTCTAGAAGTGGAGTAGGGCAGGTCGTGCAGGATTCCCTAGGCATGATGAAGACTTTGGTTTTTACTCGGAATGTGGTGGAGCCATTGGGTGGCTTTGAGCAGAGGAGAGATCATCTGGTCATCTAGGCTGATGTGTTGAAAACAGACAGGCGGCAGGCAAAGGTGGAAGCCAGGAGACTGGTTAGGAGGCTGTTGCACTGATTCAGATGAGAAATGATTGTGACTCAGACCAGGGTGGTAGCACTGAGCATTGGCTGGATTCTAGGTGTATTTTTTTTGTGTGTGAGGAAGATCAGCCCTGAGCTAACATCCGTGCTAATCCTCCTCTTTTTGCTGAGGAAGACCAGCCCTGAGCTAACATGTCTTGCCAGTCCTCCTCCTTTTTTTCCCCTTTTTCTCCCCAAAGCCCCAGTAGATAGTTGTATGTCATAGTTGCACATCGTTCATAGTTGCACATCGTTCTAGTTGCTGTATGTGGGACGCCGCCTCAGCATGGCTGGATAAGCAGTGCGTTGGTGCCCGCCCGGGATCCGAACTCGGGCTGCCAGTAGCAGAGTGCAAGCACTTAACCGCTAAGCCACGGGGCCGGCCCCTCTAGGTGTAGTTTGAAGGTAGAGCCACTAGGATTTCCTGATGGAATGCGTGGGGGCAAGAATGACTCAAAAGTTTCTGGTCTGAGGAACTAGAAGGATAGAATTGTCATTACCTGAGATGGGGAAGATGGGTGGAATAGGTTTGGGGGAGAAGATCAAAGTCCCTGTTTATTTCAGGCCCTGCCCCGCCTCCTCCTCCTTCTTGGTCTTCTTACCTCTCTGTTCTCATTCATTTTACTCCTACTTTTTCCCCTTCTTTGTGCCCATGTCTTAAGCCCGCCACTGAGAACCACTGGCACCCATTGGCCGTTGATGAAACCTGTGTGTCACTCAGGGCCAGAGAGGTTGCTGTCCACTCGGAGACATGTTTCTGTATCACTTTATTTCAGAGAATAATTAGCAAAAGAGATTTTTGTTAAATGTTTATAATTAAAACAATAAGCAATCATTGTTATTCTTGTTCCAGAGTCATTTGATGTGGTCACAAAATGCGTAGGTTTAACGCTGACTGAGCAGTTCATGGAGAAATATGTTGATCCTGGAAACCATAATAGTGGGATTGATCTACTTCGGACCTGTGAGTACTTTGATCTCAGCAGGACAATCGGGGGAAAAAGGGAAATAATTTTATTTGCCTTTTGTTGAACTCTGTTTTTTGAATGAGGTGAATTAGTACATTGTGTCAACCTGAAGTAAGATCTCTAACGGTATCCCAACTAGCTCTGTTCTGTTGGTATGATATTTTAGACGTGAGATACATACCACATTGCAAATATGAAGTTGAGAGAAGCAGCTAATACACTGGATGACAGAATCCGGACCCCTCAAAAGATGTTATTAGTGGGCCCATTTAAAGAGGAAATCGAAATAGGGATAAATAATAAATTCCTGTTTGAGTTTAACACTTCAGCTGAGTTCAAATAGGAATATGTGAAGAAAGTTGAGTGCGAGATCTTATGAGTCAGCTGAGGGTCAGGCCTGCCACAGTGTTCATTGAGTTGTAGGTTGTAGTAACAAAAGTGTATCTGTTAGGAACATTCTATTCCTGGATGGTTGGGCTGCCCAGGAAATACTGTCTTCAGGTTTGCCCCTGGTTTCCAGGCTAGAGAGACTTCCTGGAGCTTGCCTGGAAGAAGGACCAAGTCATGAGAGGAAGCATTGAATAATTGGCATGTACTCAGCTTTGCATTGCGAATGATAGGGGGAAATTTATTTCTAGCAGCGTTTGAAGAGAAGTTAGAGAAAAGACTTGTATGTGGTTCCAGAAAGTGAAACCAGCACTAAAAGGTAGGATTTGGTTTAGAGTTGATATTAGTACATTGCTAATAATTAAAATCATTTGGAAGTGGAATGGGATGCTTTGTCAAGTCATCGGCTTTTTTCTCATGTTGTTGAGGGAATTTATCATAAGTAAAACTGCCCCGGGGCCAGCCCGGGGGCGTAGTGGTTAAGTGCTTGCTCCGCTGCTGGCGGCCCGGGTTTGGATCCTGGCTGTGCACCGACGCACCGCTTGTCAGGCCATGCTGTGGCGGCGTCCCACATAAAGTGGAGGAAGATCAGCACAGATGTTAGCTCAGGGCCAGTCTTTCTCAGCAAAAAAGAGGAGGATTGGCATGGATGTTAGCTCAGGGCTGATCTTCCTCACAAAAAACAAATAATAAATAAAAATAAACCTTTAAAAAAAAAAAAACCTGCCCCTTGTTGACTGCCTGGCATAGACCAGGTGCTCTGCTCTGCTTTGTGTATTCTTTCCTCGAGCTTTTACTGTCACCGTTCATTGACTTGTTTCCTGCCTGAGATCCTGTAAGGACTTAGGTTTGTTCAAATGTAGAGCCAGGATGTTTTCCTTCAGATGCTGGCTTTGCACTTACTGCGTTAGCCTGTACAAGTTATTTATCCTCATTTGTAAAATGGAGATGATAATAATAGTACCTTCCTCCTAGGATCATTGGGAGGATAATACACACAGCATGTGTAGAACCGTGACGCGTAGTAGGCCCTCAGGAACTATAAACTGTTCCTCTCCTACCTTTACCAGCAAAGTTCGCATCCTTTTAAACAGTGTGCTTTAGAAAAGAAACCGCAATACGGAAGGACTCCGTTCTCACTTTGTGAGAAAAGATCTAATTAGAATATGAAGGAAATTGCTGTTGTGAAAAAACTGTCTGAAATCATGGTGACATTTCTTTCTTTCTCTTTGTTCAATCAGATCTTTGGCGTTGCCAGTTCCTTCTGCCTTTCGTTAGTCTGGGTTTGATGTGCTTTGGGGCTTTGATTGGCCTTTGTGCTTGCATCTGCCGAAGCTTGTATCCCACCATCGCCACCGGCGTTCTCCATCTCCTTGCAGGTGGGTCTTGTCTCATACGTACCTGTCATCTTTTTCCTGTCTCCTTAGAGACAGAGAGTTGTCATTCTTAAGCATTCACATATTACTGCCTGTCATGTTGCCGGAAAAGCTCTTCCTGTGCTCTTACCTGCCATGTTTTGTTTTGTTTTCTGAATTTTCCTCTAAGGTCTGTGTACTCTGGGCTCAGTGAGTTGTTATGTCGCCGGAATTGAACTGCTCCACCAGAGGCTAGAGCTGCCTGAGAATGTGTCCGGCGAATTTGGATGGTCCTTCTGCCTGGCCTGCGTCTCAGCGCCCTTACAGTTCATGGCTTCTGCTCTCTTCATCTGGGCTGCTCACACCAACCGGAAGGAGTACACCTTAATGAAGGCGTATCGCGTGGCATGAGTGGGAAGCTGCCTGCTTTACAATTGCCGTTCTTATTATTTTTTAATACTAATATGTTCCCTTGTCTCCCCCCCAATTGTTTTTAACTTTTTTTTTGTGGATATACCATTTTATCCTAAAAATCCATTTTATTTATTCACACAGACAGTGGTTTCTTAATGCCACTAAAATTTATATAGATTACTCTGAGTGAGTCCATCTTTCAAACAAACTGATCTAGGTTCAGAGTGCAGACAGAAGGAAATGGGTAGACACTTGGCACAAATTTGTGAAAGAAAATTGATAGTGGGAAATTGACCCAAAGCAGGTTCTGCTGATGTTTGTTAGACTTTTCAGTAAAGTAACTTTTTCATTCATTTGGCAACTCTGTAGTTTCGTTGGGAAACCTCTTATCCTTGTCAAAACTTAGGCTTGCTTTGCTGTTGTAGATGGTCAGTCAGCCAGAGGTATTAGTGCTATTTTCCAAGACTTAAGCTCTATAAAATAGGGAAATATCTAAGATCCTTTCCCCTAAATGTTGGCATATAGCTTCATCCAAGGTGGAATATGGCAGCTGTTTGTCTACACTGTTTCTGTCTACAAGAAAGGAAGTGAAAAATGTAGTGTTTCCTTGAAATTTTAACTTTGGATCTGCAAGAATTCCAATTCAGCCAGACAAGAAGACTGACCTTATTTTACGTTTTTTTTTAAAACTCTCCTTGAGGTGTCAATAGGACTTTTGGTACCACCAAACCATTTTGGATTTTGCTCCTTCCTTCACACATCAGGCTTATTAAGAGAGCTTTCTTTTTAACACTGTATCGGGGTCACAGAGTAAAATTCTGCAACTGCTATCTATTTATTCCAGCTAAGTACCATAAAGAAAGTTCCACCATAATGACCCTCCCCAGCTAGGAAAACTACCACAAGACCTAAAGTTTCGGCTGGTCATTAACTTCCGACTCTGGTCTTTATTTCTTGTGGTGAAACGATGTGCCTTTCCTTGCCTAAATCCCTTCCTGATGTGTATCAATGTTATTGAATGTCTTTGAATTCAGTCATTTTTTATAAATATGTCTATAAACATTGAACTTTAAAAAAATCTTATTTATTTATTCCATTACTGTAGCACTTGACAGATTTTAAAAAATGTAACTTAGTAATTTCTTACAATATCCTAAATCTGTCTTTTTTAAAAAATAAAAAAGTGAGACGAGACACTGAATTGTGTATGGTGTCTGAGTTGATGTAAATCTCAGTACCTCAGGATAAAGAAATAGAAGATTCTGAGTGAGGATCTCTGTGGTTCTCTGTGGAAAACACATTGTTGCTCTGCAGGCCTATCCTAATGTCCAGTTTGGGTGTCTCTTTTATCTTCCAGAAAGTGTGGGAACTCCTTGCCCCCATTAGAAAAGAAGAGACTCTTATCTCTTATGTTTCAGAGTTTTAAAACCTGTTTTCAAAGTAGTTTTGTGATCTGTGCATCATACTTAATGTGGCTGGTTTTTCATAAAGCCACTTAATGGCTGTGGCTGTTTGTGTTCTACATTAAAGAGATGATCAGGTCAGCTTCTGACACCACAAAGCCAATGTGACTCTGCAGCCGATTATTGCCTGTGAGACGGCTGGTTGCTCAGGTCTACCTCCTCCTAACTTGAAGTTTCATTGCCTTCCAGCATCTTCTGTGGAAGGTAGAAGAGCTAAGTGAACAAACACAGAAGACTTTTGGGAATGGAATTTTAAAATTATTGCCCAACATGACATTTTTGTATTGGGAAGTTATTTATATTAAACCGTGCCTGCCTCTTTTTACACGAAAGTCACCTGTGCCTGTACCTGACCCCAGTCTGTAATGTGCACTGTGGGAACTCAGAATCAGACTCAGGTTACAGCCTCCCCTTGGCATCCTCAAACCTGGAGAGCAGCACCGTGGGCCCTGGCACTGACTGTGTGTGGTAGTTGATGTTTTAAGCACATTTCAGAGTAGTTGAGGTCATCCTCTCTTGAAAAGACTTTTTTCTTTGGAATACATAGGGCTTCATTGTTTCATTTGATGTGAAAATTAGTTTTTCAGCTGATGCCTGATTCTAATCAGGTGGAACCGTATGAAATTACTGATATTTGACTGTTTTTGATTAAACTAATACTACATAAAATCAGTGGCAAGTAAAGTCCTATTGATCTCCTTTCACGTAATCTTTGAAAGCAACGGTCCAAGTAAAAAACTTTCAGGTTTTTCAGAACATGAGTTTTATGGCAACTTAAAAGCGTAATGTTTTAAAATCTTAATTTAATGGTTCCTAATCTCATTAAATGATGTGAATAAATACATCTTCTATATCCTCTTCAGCAAAAGACTCATTTCAAAGTTTCTTAGGGATAGCCATAAAAATAGTAAAAGTTGGTATAACATAAAAGGCGGAATAATTGTTCAGTTAACACTGTGTGCCTGCTATCTGTCCTGATACACTAGGGTCTCAGGAATTTGTTAATGTAATAGTGATGTGTTAAGGTTTTACCTGCTGTTAAGTATTAGTGCGTGTGTGCTGGGGGGAGGATAGAGTTGATAAGTCACTTGTAGGTGACCTGATTTAGTTACACCAGTGAGCAGAATGAGATGACCATACAACAAATCAAGGTAGAGTTTGTTTTTCCATTTTGGAGACATCAAATTGTAGACTAGCACTGTTAAAACTTGTAGCATAGATCCAGTCATCTTCAATTGACTATAAAATAGTGTGAGAGTATTTTAAAATGTAACCGGCATGTAAACTTTTGCCGGAAATGAAAACAAACTTGAATTTATCTGATTTTGCCAGTGGCGACACTTCCTGAAGTTTCCTAGGAGCTAAAGGAGAAGATAATGGGTGCAGTTCTGAAGATGCAGATTGTTATTTCACAAGCTCAATGCAGCTCTGTCCTGGACAGTTGGGTGGGGCCTTTTGTCCTCCTTTCATAAGGCAATACTGATTCACACCGTGAAAAGAGAGGAGTGAAACAAGGAAATAATTTCTGCTCATAGGAATTCTCTTTCTGTTGCTCATCAGGTGTTCCAACACGCTCTACTAACGAGGTGCAGTTTTCCCTTGGATCAAATTATGATCTATGCCAGTGTCTTGCAAATCCTTATGTGAAAATTCTAAATTGCAAAAAATAAATTAGAGTAATTATTTGCTCTATAGAAGAAGTCACCATAAGAATCATTTAAAGCCTTTTCAGTGCTAAAATTGCTATTAGCAAAATTAATACATTATTTGACATTAAGATTTACACACTTTCGGCCAACTCATATAAAGCAAGATCCAATTTATATTGCTTTCCACCTTTGCAGAGTTTTAAAAATATGAAATACAGAGAGAAAGATAATTCTCTTTCTGTTTTGTCTTCACCTTTTAAAATATTTGAGTTTTGAGGTAATGCCTCCCCGTTCAGCCTCACCTTGCCTCTCCTGCAGCCTCTGTTCTGGTTTTCTCTGCTCAGCGTGTATAGGCACCAGTAAGTTCACAAGTGGCTTTGATTCTTGTTCCGATAATCTCCCACGGCACCTTCCTTCGCTGTCTTGATGGACTGTGCTATCCAGTTTTCTTACTCGCAGTCTCAAGATACTGAGGATGGCTGTTCAAAACTGTGAAGCTGATTCTGTTTTAAAAACTATGCTATATGACTTTAGCTGCTTGACCGTTCTAACCCTCTCTGACTGTTGATTTATTACTCCCTACCACACATTTTCAAATCTCTACAAAAGTTAGTTGCTAGAAACCCATGTTCTTCCTCCTCAATTCCCACGGAAGGAGGTTGTGTTCTCTTTAAGGAGAGAGTATTGGAATGAACTCTTCCAGTTTCTCAACCCTCTTGGCTCCTCCCTACGGAAGAAGGACTAGTATCTGATTGCAGAGATTGCTGGAATCGTGGCACCCACCAAAGGCAGCACAGTGTATGGCGGTTACGTATCCGGCTCAGGAGACAGAACACCGAATTTGTGATCCCAGGTCTGTCACGTGGGCTTTCCAAGTCCCACTTTCCCCTTCTGGGAAGTACTGTGATTGTCATACCTGCCTCAAGAGTTGCAATGAGGATTATGTAAATTGCTCTGCATCAAGTAGCCACTCAAAAAATGCTGGTATGACTGGCTGCATTAAGAGGGGATGGAGTTACCGAGCCCAGAAAGTGGTGGTTCTCAGCCCAGCCTGCACATGGGAATCTCCTGGAGAACTTCAAAAAATACTGTGCCCTAGAGATCCTGATTTAGTTGGTCTGGGGTGTAGCCAGGTCACTTCAATTTTTTAAACCTTTCCGAGTGATTCCAGTGGGAGCTATGTTTGAAAACCATGTTTGAAAACTACATTTAAAAGCAAGAGATAGGATTCTCTCCTAGGCAGGTGGTTAGAAAGAGACAGTGGGCTCTGTCGAGTAAACTGCCTGCTTTCTGGAAGCCACTTCTACCTCATGCTTCCCAGCACTGTCTTCTGCTGGTGACTGGCCCTTTGAGCCGGGCCCCAGTCCATCACACCACTGCTGGCTAGAGATGTGTGCGAAGAGCCTGCCTGCAGACCAGACATGCTGGCGGCTGGTCCTAAGGTTAAAGTTTGGCGGGAGGTAATAGGAAGCCTTGTCTGTTTTGGCTTCAATTCCAAATGACTTTCTCTAGTCCAGTACTCTCAGGGACCCTGTAGTTTGGGGAGAAACGGCCTAAAGAAAGTGAATACTTTGATCCCTGTTTGCTTATCAGTTCATTGCATCCTACTCTTTTGGTTAGAACTGGGAAGGACAGAGGCATGAGTGATTGACATTAACCTGTACACAATCCAGAATGCTTGAGAAGGGACATATAAAATGAGGACAAAATAGTATCCGCCCTGACAGGTGACTGCGAGGGTTAAATAAGAAGGTACCGAGATCCTGAAGCATCAGAGCCCAGCAAATGTTAGGTATTATTTGGAGGCCAACGCAGCGCCCGGGGAGGAGGTAGCCCATGGCCTGGCTGCAGTCAGGCTCTCATACGAGCAGGACTTGGAGCTGTCGTGCCTGTGGCTGCACTGAGCAGGGATTAGGGCTGGGGCTGGTGCTACATATCTTGGAGAATCTAGTTTCCAGCTAAGGTTCATTTCAAAACAGACAGAGCTTCACTACACAGGCTTTTTAGCCATCCTTGCATCTCAAAGTGGAAGAATTTTTTAAAGCTTGTGTTTTTATTCTTTTTCTCAAACAGGCTGCACTGGTGTGGGATTTTTGGTTTTTAAATGATTTTGCTAAGCATTGGTTGGTGATTTAAGATTAGCTGCACCAAAAGCCTGTCTTTATCTTGTTTAAATTGGATCCAGGTCCATTGAGGGCACAGGAGGAGCATGGATTCTCAGGCTCCTGAAGTCAGCTCCTACCACAGGCAACGCAGTCTGATTTGGACTGCACATTTTAGGTGCTAAGGGTGGCAGCAGATTTCAGGCGCACACCGTAGGGCCAGCCTGGGGTGTTAGTCGTGAGCACTTGTAATAAGCTGCAGAGTGGAACTTTTCTTGTTGCCCTGGACTTAAAGGAGCAGTCAAAGATATGAAAGATAAGAAATTATCTTTAAAAATTCTAGAAAGAATTCAAACACTTGGGGCTAAAACCCCATCTAGGACTTCTTTAGAGGCGCAGAACCCCCTCTTATTATCCTAACTATCCAGCCATCGCCCCAGGCCGTGCTCCCACACTTGCCCCACTGAACTAAGAAGATGACAGGCAGGGACTCCCTCCTGGGTGCTGGATGCCGTTCTAGATGAACAAGTGGACTGCTGTCTCGTTGACTCGTGACTGTCACTTCTGCAGAACTGCTCTGGATTCAGACAGATCTACTTGAATCCCAGCGCTTCCTTCCTTTTACAGCTGGAGAAACTTTGGGCAATTGACATCACTTCTCTAGGTCTCGGTGGGATAATAATGTCCACTCTCCATGTTTGTTGTGAGGCTTAAATAATACACATAAAGCACTCAGCATGGTGCCCAGCACGTCTAAAGCTTTCTTAAATGGTAACCTTACCATAATTCATCTACAGATGTTTCCAGATCCCCAGGCGCTCCTTCTCTCCTAAGCTCTAGGTCTCCATTTCTAACTGCCTTGAAGACAGCTCCAGTGGAATGTTTTCCTGATACTTCAAACTTAATATGTCCAGCTTTCTTTCTTTCTTCTCATAATTTCTCTAAGTCCCATTTTCTTTATGTTTCTCCCACCTCCTAGA